GTCAAACATTATAAAAGTATAAAAATAAGTCTTTGCATTAAGAATACCAGCAACAAATTGTTCCCAAGAAAATTAAAGAGCTGGTAGGCCGTTAATCAAACGGAACCGAGTTGTTTCTTGTGTAGCGGCATATCATCGAATTTCCTATTCCAACAGGTCATTCTTGACGCATTATTTGGTGAATTAATTCATTTGTATGTTTTCTTTATAATGAAAAAGAAACAACAACAAAAATATAGAAATCTTGCTCTTGATCCAAGTCTTTTAATTGACGGAAATATTTCTTTCTTAACTTTTCCATTTGATATTTCATCTGCCACCCAGACAGAAGGTGATCTCTCCCATTAAGCTGTATTTTCACTTCAGACGGCGTCCATCAAAAGAAGTCAGGTATCAATTTTCTCCAAAATGAATATACGAGATCATATAATTTGATTAGCTGAATTATTATTTATAGTGTAATATCTTTCTTCTCCAGGAGTTGCATTTAATGGAATTCGCTATTTTAACTGGCCATTCCTCTTGATGATTGACATATTTGGAAAAATGAGAAATCAATTTATGGGTTTCTATATAGTAAATAAAAAGCAAAGCCAAGATCTTGTTTGTCAACCAGTCCTTAACCAAATGGAAATATTTATTTATATTATTTTCATTTGGTATCCCACCCTCACTCAAGTAAAAAAATTAAACAATGAATATTCAATGGCTTTTTTTATTCTGTATATAATTCTTATATTTATAGAAATTTCGCTATTAAAATTTCATTCAGAAGATACATTATTAACTCCATATCATTGTAGATGGTAAACACGAAATAAAGCTTATGCCACAATAGGAAATTGACCACGGTTAATATTTTGATTTCTACCATAAAAATAATCTGTTAATTTTTAAATGATATAATAGAAAAAATAAGGTTCTTGCATTGCACTCTAAATGCAAGTTTATGCTGAAAATATTTGTGCAAATCATATGAAGATTTTCCTGATCATAAAATCAGATGTTGACAACTAGGTTTACGGGAGACAATATCATAACATCTATCTATCTATCTATCTATCTATCTATCTATATCTATATATATATATATATATATATATATATATATATATATATATATATATATATATATATATATCACTTAATAAGTAAAATAACCAGTAAGGATTTTAAAATAAAACACATTGAGGGGACAAGAAGATACAGCTGAGCAAATCTAACAGCTATAGCGCTTATTGTTATATATTATGCCAGTTGTAGCAGAGAAAATAGTACAATTATAAAAAAAACTGCTACATAATGTTTCCTGTGTGCAAAATCACGTAATATTCATGAGGATAATATGATTAGATGCTTCTGGACAGGTAAAAATTATATAGAAGCCGGCCGAGTGAGAAATTTCATTTTATTAATTATTTTAGAGTAAGTTTCGCCATTTAAAAAGCTCGCGCCACTCGTGGTAGAGGGTTACGTTAGAAGACAATATGTGCAGACAGTGGGGGGGGGAATCTAACAGTTAACCCTAGTAATGAACAGGTTAGGATTTTAGTGATGGGGGAAACATCCTGTTGGAAGTCAGTCCCATTTCGCAGTGGTTCGCGGGAAGAAGTAACTTAATTCTCATTTATTGATTACAGAGGGAATGTCGGTGGTTTACTCCGATATTAGTGTCATGTAGTTCACCTGAGTATATATATATATATATATATATATATATATATATATATATATATATATATATATAGGGGGGTTGTCTGACGATCGCAAAAGCGTGAAATCCAGGATCACAAACTCACATCTATCCAACATATATATATATATATATATATATATATATATATATATATATATATATATATATATATATTCGAATAAAGACAAATAAAAAACTTATATTAGCCCTAGTTAAGCTTCCAACAATTTCAAGCATACTGAATTCTGTTTTCTTTTTAGGAAATTTGTATTTTTACCACACAAAATTGTTGAACATATTACAAAGACGGTCTAATTATCTGAATGTGCAGCGTGGTCTGAAGGTTTTGACATCCCATGCCAAAATAATAAGAACAATATAACAACAAGTAATACAAAGCATATGCACTGCATTCAGTTTATTCACTTTCATTGATTCTAACAAACCGTGACAGCCTCTGAAACAAACAAAAAAAAATTATGTCGAAGTGACATGTTTATCGGCACAATTTGTATTTATTTTTTGTAAAATATCACTCTACCTTCATATAACACTTTTTAATCGCTAGATTTTTCAGTTTTTCTATTTCATAGTCGATACTTCCTGCTCGACATTTAATGATTATTTTTTTTAATCAAATTATTAAATATCCGCTATTGCACATTATACATCTTGCTTTGTTCACTAATTATTTCCAAATGTTGGCATAAGGAAACGATACGTATGTCATCCAATGCAATGTGAAATACCTAATAACAATATGTTTGCACATAAAATAACGAAGAAAATAACAGGTACTTGTGGAAATAAAAAACCTCAATATTCAGAATATACACATATAATATATTTAATGTACTGGCAGTGTAAATGTTATCGATAGATAATATAATGTCGGCGTAACTATTTAACAGTTAATATTCAAAATATAGATATAAAATATTGTGACTTATGGATTCATCTATTATTTGTCCATGTCATCTATGTTTTTATGCGATCGTGTCTAGAAGAACTTCTTTGAATTCAAACCCTTTCAGTTAGTTAAGCAGATACACCCTCTAATGTACACAAGTAGCTGTGGAAATTCACCGTTATCATAGAAAAGCACACGTTGTTCTATTTAATGTCAAATTAAACATCATTTACAAGATAAACTGCTTATTTTATTCCATCGAAAATAGCCTGACTATTATAAAATGAGTAAGAAGTTGTATCATAATATTATGTATCGAATCACGAACTGGTGGCATCAGAAATGTCACTGATTAAAATATGGAATTTAACGAAAGTTCCAACCTTGGAAAAACGGATAATTGTAGAAGTGAATCTATTCGGATGCGTGACGAAATTACAAGAATAATAAATTAAATATATAACTGTAATTATATATCGGAACACTTAAAATGATCCATTTTTATAGCACTGTCTAAAAATCCAGGTGCAAAAAAGAGAAATCTATCGGACAACATGCCTCATGAGTAAATAAAAGAACTAATGCACAGTAGAATATAACAAAAATAAGAAAAAAAAACTAGTGCAGATTCGTCAAAGACAATGTAACAAGCAATGCAATATTTATGCGCAAAATGATATCAGTAAGAGCAACAGAAGTGTAAAATGATGTGCAACTGTGTTTTAAACCATTATTCAAAAGCGTTTGATTTAGAACGTCAAAAAATCTGTTAGAGCTGCTTTGAAACATTGACCTATTTATGAATGATATTGCAATACTACAGAACATATACTGGCAGAAAAATATCTGCATATGGTTAGAAGATGAGTTAAGTATATATACATATAATACGTCGTCATGCGGCGCTATATGAGGAAGACGGCGTTGTTTCTTCATCGGCTGTACGTCATTTTGGATTGCTCTCTCTCTCTCTCTCTCTCTCTCTCTCTCTCTCTCTCGTTTGTGTCGTCTTGAGGTGAAATATTTGCACTTCATTATGACTCCCAAGCCTAAGGCAGAGTCGTGGGTGCTCATGTAGGCGAGGTCCGACGTCCGTCATAAATCAGGTTACATCGCGCTCTAGGAACGGATCACCGACAAAATTATAGAGCTCCTGTACATTTCTAACTCTAGCATTCGACGTATATCAAATACTATTGCCGCATTTCATCTGTTTTATATCTAGTGATTTGTATATAGAGAAATAAAGAATAAACAAATTTATAAGTTGGGAACATGATACCTTGGATTTAGTCAAATTTACAAACCAATAGGCTAAATTCCTTGTGACATTTCTATAAATATTTTTCACGGTAAGTAATTTGCTGATACATTTACTTCAGGAAATTAAGCATTTCATAATTTCACTATTGGGTTTAATAGTTATAAACTTAAGGCCTCTGCTGACAGTTTTTTTTTTTCGCTACAATTATCGCTTGAGGAACTCTTTAGGCTTACCTGTCAACTATGCTCACCGAAAATTTAAATTAATTTTCAATCATTGACTTCTGTCTCCTAGAAAGATATTCTTTTATAGTTCTTTCTATTTCAGTCACTCTCAGCAACCCATTGCATCCTAGAGACATTTCTCACTTTGCTTGGGTTGATATAATTTTAAAAAGTACAATACAAAAAAAAACCCAAAAAACATTAGGGTAAGAGATAACGATGACAAATTCACTCGTCAGAGATCATCTATTCGAACTCCGCTAAATGTATTTTTGATTAGCCTTCACGTTTTCAGATAGAAATGGATGTCAATAACTATTAAGTAGATAATTGTTCTGTGTTTTGTATTGGCTTTTTAGGGAGTTGGCTGAAGATTTTTCTTCGAGAATTTATTTTCAAAATCAACAACAGATTAAATGTTAAAATAATCGTTACCTTTTCACAGATTACGCATTATACAAGAAGCGCAATTAGATATCCTCACCCCCACAAATATATGTGTGTATATGCGTGTGTGTTAGTTTATTCGCGCCTGTGTGTGTATCGGCGTGTCTACGTGTATGTATGTGTTTGTAGCATATTGAGTGTCATGTAATCAATATAAGGCCGCTAACGAATGGAAAATAAGAAGCCTTAATAGATTCTTCCAAGGTACAAGAATTCCATTCATTATTCACTTAATAATGGAAATCATTAAAGGAACGTTTGATAAAAAAGAGGTTTAACGATTTCTAATATAATTAATTCATTTTGTAATATTAATCAAGATTATTCACAAATACAGTTACATTCTAAATTTGATGAAACATTATATGATTCCGTTACTATTGAAAAGTTTGCCATAACACATTTTTCTACACAGAATTCAAGTTAAGGAGAGAAGATGGAACTTTTACATATTAGAGAATGGTTATGCGGCTTCTATCTGACATTGTTCCATTTCTTTCAAAATGTATCAGTGAAAAAGTCATTTTCTTTCAGCGTTTGCATACTACCAGATTTTCAGTGTAAATATGTTAATATCAAACAATTTATTGAAGCAACTGACGCATTTACCCAAGGCATTTTCCAAAATACATAACGCTAAAACTGCTTCTATTATACATAACGGAAGCCAACATATGTGTTTTGCAATTGATCCTTATTAAGGCAACATACAAACTACCTTAGCTAGAAAATATATCCTGAAACAAAGCGCACGCAATTGGAACATCAGAGCTGAAGACCTTTAGGTAAATAATTTTCTCTGATGATACACATACGAGAGAGTAAAAGCAAACGTAATCATATCCATGCATTTCTGTATTTGAATTTATTATATATAAATGTTTTCGTATATTTGTATATGTACCAACGAAGAGAAATAGAAAAATCAGGTCTGGCTGACAACATATGGAGGGAAAAGCGATGAAATTTAAATTACAGATAAAAAATATCACTGGAAAATACGAAAGTGTAAGGAGAGAGCGTATATGTTTTTCATAAAAATCTTTTAGCCAGCCAAGCATAGACATGATTACAATATGGGAACCAGTAATACGGAATGCAAGAGAGAAAAAAAAAACAATAATAACACCAAATTCTAATATGAGCTTCGGTAAAAAAAGAAACTTACACATAAGGTTTATAAGGCACAAGAATCCATACACTGAAGGACACATGATACAGTGTATAAAAGCGTTGACAGAATCCAGAGATTTATCCCAAAATTTGAGTTACAGAAAATCTTGGAAAGTTGAGTTAAATGGAAGATATATGATAAGGAGACATTTAGAAGAAGCATGGCATGTGGAAATAGAACAAGCTACCCCGGGTCCAAATTCACATCTAGAAGAAGGCCGGAGCTTATAACGGTTGAAACGCCATGAATATGTCAAAACAAAAAGTTGAGGACAACAGTCCGAACTATGTAAATTGTGTAAATAATTACAATACCTCATCTCGGTGATAGAGACAGAGAATGATTCTTTATTTATATTTACACATATGTGGGTGTGCGTAGAAGACTTTATTTGCACGTGTTCATATTTTGCATGCTTAAATTTTTGTATGAGAGAGGATTATATTTCAGGGGAGAAAGAGAGAAATAGATAGATAGATAGATAGATAGATAGAGAGAGAGAAAGAGAGAGAGAGAGAATTTATGTGTGTGTGAGTGCGTAAATGTGAGTGTGACTCTGTGTGTGTGTGTGTGTGTGTGTGTGTGTGTGTGTGTGTGTGTGTGTGTGTGTGTGTGTGTGTGCGTAAATGTGAGTGTGACTGTGTGTGACTGGTGTAGTCTCTTAATCTGGAATAGTGTCTTATCTCTTTGAAGGTCGGTTCTATTCATCGGTTTGAATGTAACTGCACTACTGGATAAAGGCATTGACTGAAAAAGAAAATGGTTGACTTGAAATCCATTCAGAATTCCAAATAACGTCACATTTTATTTTATTTTTTATTTTACTGGCAACAGATTAAAAACAATGGAATTCGTTATTACAACTGCCTTTTGAGAAATTCCATTCATCTTGCAAAACTATGAAGTTCTATTTAGCAAAGGCTTGGGAGTATATTTTTTCTCTTTTTTATCTGAGAATCAATAGCAACTCTTTAGGGACTAGTAACTTTTTTCACGTTCCTCTTCTGCGTCGATGAGGCTAAATTTAGATAATATCAAACCGGAAATATTCAATCATATTTTTTCCTTTTGTCAAGATTTATTATTGGATCACGCGTTTCCTTGAAATTGAAATTAAATTTCACTTTAAAAAATTTGATGAAAAAACAGAAAAAGAGAATAGCAATATTTGTAGTTACCTTATGTACTAAAAAATAATTAAAATCAAAATAGTTGATTATTCTTTTTTATCTTGCATATGAAAATAAATCAGGTTTTACAATATTAATATATACAAAGTATATATATGACGGTGAGACAACCATACATGTATTTACATATATCAAGAACAGCGAAAGTGTATGACAAGGTGGAAAAAGGTTACACGTTTCGTCGTTCAGGTCTTCATACTAACATTTATTATGTTGGTAGGACTACACCTGTGCACAGAATGAGGCCGCTGGTAATTTTGGATTATATATATATATATATATATATGTGTGTATGTGTGTGTGTGTGTGTGTGAGTGAGTGAATAGCCGAATACATTTAGAATCTTTTTCATTTTATTTCCATCACTTCTATTAGTAAGTATCCCAACCTATGATATTAGAAGATAGGACATCTGCCTGGAATGGTGAAAGGTTATTACAGGAGCCAGAGTGAATATTTACTGTACATGATCTTGCGATCAAGGCACTCTCTAAATATTTACGTCGTAGTGAGTTATTTGATCAGAGTAGTATTTATTATATATTACTGTATATGCATACACACATAAAAACGAATGTCTTAATAGTGAAACAAATATCGAGATAGAGAAATAATCACTTCGCATTCACTTTTAGTTAAATTCGAAATAATACATGGGAAAAGGCAGGTAGCTACTTAAGATAAATAGCAGAACATAATTGTCTCTCTTATTTGGAGGTGATAACCAATCTAAGAGAAAAAAAAAACTGATTTCAAAACCAGACTGAGGAGGGGAACCTTGATTATATATAATGGTAACCAAGGAGAAATAATGAATTATGAATTTCTATCAGAAACGTAATTATTAGATAAATTATTATTTTAAAACAGCTAATATTTCCCAGGGCCTAAAAATGTAAGGAGTAGCAAAATTTTATTTCATGAAACTAATTGGCGAAAATGTATTCAGATTTGCTGCTAATTCGATCATTATTAAAAATAAGTGACCAAATTATAGAAAAAACAAAACAATTATTATCTATCTATGTATCTAAGTATCTATATATATATATATATATATATATATATATATATATATATATATATATATATATATATATATATATATGCATATATATGCTTTACATGTTCTTGTGGTTAAGTTCTGACCACTGGCGAAATTTGAAAATAGACAGAATTTAGGAAATTGCTCAAAGAGTTATTTTCTGGTAACAAACTGCAAATTTCACTGCCTTATCACTGTTATTATGTTACGCTCTCAGACAGTATTTTATTATTGAAGAAGGTATCTGAAGCTCGCACGCATAGCTCTTTAATAAAATATCATTCAGTGAAGCGTTTTAAGAGTAGAAAAAGCAGGTTTAAAAATACGCTTAAAGACAAATGTTAAGAAACTTATTTTTTTCGACCACCAGAATATATCCAATAGTATAATTTACTTAGACGCCTTACACGCCGGGAAGCAACCAATGTTCACTGCGTCTCTAATATCCGCGCTAATCTCGGGAAAAATCATCAAAGTTAATGCTAGGCAACATTCTTGGATAGCTTTGTATTCAAAACCGTCACATATCCAGAATTTCAATAAGTTATACTTGAAAACTGTATTTAATGTATGACTGAACATATACCAACTGGACTTTATTTTCTAATTCATATTCCATAAAATACATATATGACTGGCCGAAAATTTGTTGCGTTATCTGTGGCGTTTGGTTGTCTATCTTTAATTCCTATGTATGTTGTAAAATTTCTTCCTTTATATGCCATGCCCCTTTGGAACGTAAGGAATCATGGCTCTCCACATCGTCATATCCCTTGAAGGTCTTAATATGTATTTTTTTCTTTTAGTTATTTCTGACAAAATCTTTTCTACCATCCATTCACTGAAACTCATCAAGTACATTATTTACATTATTCGGACAAGCACACATGGCAGAGTAGATAAAGGAGTTAGTTAGATCCAGTGACAGGACCCAAAAGTGTGTGAGTTCAATACCCGGTTAAGGCAGTGCAGAACTTTCAGATGGAAATTAACAGGAGATAACTGATAACTGACATCCATTAAACATGGCACGTGTAACTAGAACAGTCTACCCCAGTGAAAGAAATTAACGGTTCAGTTCGACATTCCAACCACCTGAAGAAGGCCGGAGCGTACAACGTCCGAAACATTGTAATAAATATGGCGACAAAGATGAGGAAAATAGTTTGCATAGTGTAAATAATGTACATAATACCTCATCTCAGAAATATAGAAAGATACTCATTAGGTACGTTGCTCGCTGATTTTCTTCCGTCCCATTTTCCCTCAAACTGTCCAATGAGTATCAGATTTTCCAAGCCTTCCTTCCCTATTCCGTACCCCCAGAAATTTCAATTGCTTCTTCCTGATGTTATCTATGAGTACCCTTTTGCTTTCTATTTTTTCGAAAATCTCGTCGTTGTTTAAATGTTCGATCCATGACGCCCTGAGCATCCTGTAAAACCATATTCCATTTTTTTCAGTTCTTTTCTTCCTCTTTGAGGATATTGTCCAGCATTTGCTTCCATACATATGAACAGATAGCACGTAATAATTCAATACTATTTTCATCATAAACTCTGCAACAATATACCGAATCTAAGGAAGTGAATTGTGGAGAAAGAAAAATGCATGTTAACAGATCGACCAATTAATAAAACCACTAAGTGTGCTAAGAGTCCCCATGGTAAAATCAAGGACAGAAAGTGAGTTTAACAAAAATAATGCTATGTCCTAACAATGGGATCGAACCACAACCGTCAAGGTTTTGCCTTTCCGAATCAAAACTTTGAGCAGTAGTAATGTAATCTCCATCGGATAATCTGCCTCTAGAGCCAAATAAAGAATTAGATCCGAATTTTAATGAATACAGCGCGTAGGAGAATTAGAATACAAATATGTCTTAACGAGAATAAAAAAAGAGATATATATTATGTGATAACATTTTCCATTATTTATGTAACATTTACGGCTTGTTCCAGTGCCTAATAACAAACCTAATTAGGACCAAATATATTTTTCTAACGATCGATTGTTTGCTCTCCATCATCCTTTCTCTTTCCATTGTTATACCAATTTATAGACTTTACAGCAACCCTCACTGGAATATGGATCCCTTTCATGTGGACTACTACACCAAAACCTTCATCGTACCTAAAAGGTAACATTATGAACTCAACCTATTGCATAAAATATAAAGTGCCGTGAATCGAATAAGGTGGATACTTCGCTAAAAAGGACACTAAAACAAACACGAATCTTTCGAATGTTTAGGACGTAAGTTCCAGAAAACTCCGCTTAGCGAGGCCTTACTCCTTGGATTTGAAAAAAAAGACTTATTCTCTGTGCTAAATAGGATAAAATAAGTTACCGATAGAAAAGCTAGAGGACAATATGAAAAAAGACATTGCCGAAAATTCGCAGCACCGACAAGTTCATTATCAAGCCTGATAGAACAGACAATTATTACGAGCTTAACGTTGATAAATAACACAAATCTATCGACAATGATATATATATATATATATATATATATATATATATATATATATATATATATATATATATATATATGATATCACCGAAGAACTGGAAAACGATCTTAATTGTGAAGCAAGAATAATAACCAATAAACACAAAATAGACGATAGGGTAAATAAAATGCACAACTATCACACATTTATTAACGTAAAAGACATTAAAGGAAATTTCCATAATAATCCACAGTTCAGATTGGTTAACCCTCCCAAAAGCAGCATACAAGGAATACTGTAATCAGTTGAAGAATACAACTGATGCAATTAACTAGTTCTCCAAAATAAAAAAGAAAACTGAATGCATTTTATACAATTTGATATCTGCAATTTTTACCCGTGCATCTTGGAAGGACTACTGATGGCGGTTCTAAATTCGCCAAAAATATTACATCATCAGTGATCACGAAGGTAGTATCATTAAACAAGAAATCCATCTTAATTCATCATGGCTGCATGTGCACAAAAAAAGAAGAAAAAAAAAAGAACAACCGAAAAATTTATGTAGCGATGGGGCTGTTTGATTCTACAAAGGCTTGTGAATTTGTTAATAATCTTGTATTTTGGATACTCAGATATACATTTGATAGTATTAATACTGGCCTGTATGGAGATAACTGGGTTATAATCTTGCGTAATACCAACCCATAAGAAAGTCACTGACTCAGAAAAATACTGATGAAATTCTTCAGCGATCATGGAGTAAGTATTTCTACTGTCCCCAATGCCAAGGTAATCAAATTTCTGGATGCCAATTTTGATTTATCCAAGGGAATATATAAATATTTCACTAAGGAATTCCATTATCATGGATATATTAGAAAAGAATCTTACAGTCATCCAGAAATTTTAAATAATTTATACACATCTGTACAACTTAAAATTTCCACTAAATCTAGCTATAAATATGTTTTTGATGAATGCAATTTCAAATATGAAAATGTTTTAGAAAAGAGCAAACATAAAGTTAAACTACAATACTAAAATAAAACCAAGACAGACAACAAAAGGCATGAACATAGGTAATATAAATTTGGTTAACTCACCATTGAATCGAAATATCAAATCCAATATCGATAACATTGTATTTAACTTAATCAATAAGCATTTCAACCATGACCCAATGCTTAAGAAGATTTTCAACAAAAAAAGCAACAATAAGCTTAGCTATAGATGTACTAAAAACAATGAACAGTATATATCGCACCAAAATAATATAATGTTTAACACATATTTTAGTAAACTCCATGTTAATAAAAATACGAAAAAATGTATTTAAAGAAAAGACAATCCTTGCCCACTATATCTAAATGTGTGTCTAAAGGCATTGTTTATAAAGGTAGCAGTGAAAATAATGTGGAAACAAAATTTAATCTTGGTTCCACCTCAAACCACTGAAAAACCCGGTAATATCAACATAAAATCAGACTTAATAATGTCGATATTTCAATAACACGACACTGTCTAAATTTTGGGGGATATTAGGACTGATAAGTACACACCAATAGTAATTTGGGATTATATCGGTAAAACCAAACCCTTTAATGGCGAGGGGAAATGAAGCAAATACATCTTGGAAAAAAGTATAATTCTTGAAAACATCGATACCCCCAGCCTGCTGAACAAACGAAGTGAAATTCTGACAACATGCGCTCATAGAAAAACATATTCTCAAATAATTTGATTCTAGTTAGCATATTAAAATAGAATGAGAATTACCTCCGCCTGTCTCTGTTTATTTTAATCTACTCCCTACTCAATTTTCTCTGTTATGACATTTTCCCATAGTTATATTTTTATCACCTTAATATCCTCTTAATTATCTATTAATTTTATATGTATGTTAACCCAATATTAACTTTGTACGTTTATTCATTTTATTTTAACTTTATTCTATCTATCTTTTTTAACTCCACTTCTTTATATATATATTAAGTTCCTCCAGCCTTCGGCCATTACCACCTTCAAATTGAACGGATTTTTTTATATTTCAACGTCAGATTTTTTTTATATGTATGTTAACTCAATATTTTCCCACAGTAGGTTTATTTCTGGTTAGAACAGATGCCATCCATAGAACACGATCTGTCCTGCTATTTACCCATAGCAAGGAGGAGAAGAAGAAGAAGATTAATACCGTTTTCAAGGGTATTAGCACGTAAATGAATGTAATTGATTCAACTGGAATTCGAACACGACTCTCCGATTCCTCAATTCGAATCGCTATCCATTCCTCCATCGCGACAATTTTACATTTATCCCATATATTAGATTTTACTAATATAATATTATACATTGAGTTAATTTACGATATAACGTTGCATCCACGATACGTTGCTTCCATAGTATTTGAAAAGAAACGTAACCAACATCTAAACCTTTTCATCTGGGATTATATATTCGTATTTTTATATTTGAGTTTCCCTATTCTTCTATTTATATTTATTTCATACTAACTCAATATTAATTTTATATTTATTCCACCTGGAATTCGTCATATATATATATATATATATATATATATATATATATATATATATATATATGATTAAGATTTGTCATTAAGTTGATTGTTTTTTAACTTCTGGATCCCGACTCCAGAGATTCGTAGTCTGGCCATTCCATCTCTCTCTCTCTCTCTCTCTCTCTCTTTCTCTCTCTCTGCCTCTCTCTCTCTCTCTCTCTCTTTCTCTTTCTCTCTCTCTCTCTGTGTCTCACTCTCTCTTCTCTGCCTCTCTTTCTCTCTCTCTCTCTCTCTGTGTCTCACTCTCTCTTCTCTGCCTCTCTTTCTCTCTCTCTCTGTGTCTCACTCTCTCTGTCACTCTGCCTCTCTTTCTCTCTCTCTGTGTCTCACTCTCTCTGTCCTCTGCCTCTCTTTCTCTCTCTCTGTGTCTCACTCTCTCTGTCACTCTGCCTCTCTTTCTCTCTCTCTGTGTCTCACTCTCTCTGTCTCTCTGCCTCTCTTTCTCTGTGTCTCACTCTCTCTGTCTCTCTGCCTCTCTTTCTTTCTCTCTCTCTCTGTGTCTCACTCTCTCTGTCACTCTGCCTCTCTTTCTCTCTCTCTCAGTCTCTCTGTCTCTCTGCCTCTCTTTCTCTCTCTCTCTCTGTGTGTCTCACTCTCTCTGTCACTCTGCCTCTCTCTCTCTCTGTTTCTCACTCTCTCTTCTCTGCCTCTCTTTCTCTCTCTAACAGAAAAGTGTTGAAAGCGAGATACCCGATTGAATCCTTTATATTCACTTAAAGGCAAATAGATTCAGAACTTATATGAATCAATCGCATTTCTCTCCATGTATGAACGAATATCAAGACAAACTTGACCTGATAACATTGGCTGGCAACCAGTAGAGGAGAAGGAAACACGGTTCATTCAAAACGTCATGTGTGTCTTATGGCGTAATCTATGCGCCAGTCGTATATTCGGTCCTTGCAAAAAAATATCGTTGGTTATATACAACTTTTATTCTTCAATGTAAATTTGTCAACATAGGAGCTTTCAATATCTACACATTTCTGTCAAGGTTATCTACACATTTCTGTCAAGGTTATCTACACATTTTATAAGGTTATTTATGCATTTAAAATAAAACATTAATGCTTCCGGTGTCAAAAATGTTTCAAATGTAATGTATGCACCTTCATTGCAGTAGGATGACTTTTAGCTTAAAAAAATCAACTGAAGCTTGAAGAAGAGTTAGGCAGTGGGTGAGAGATCAAAGGAATATTCTAGAGGTGCCAATCTCTCGTAACCCAAGTCTGTGAGCATCTGTAATGTTATCCTGGTAACAGGTGGCCGAGTAGTGTCATAAATGAGAATTGAATTTCGCTGATTAACCAGTGCTGGTGTCATTTTGCTTAACTGATTGTGCTTTTTATTTAGGTATTGGCAGTAAACTTCGTCAGTGATCCTTTGGTTAGAGAGCTGTAATGGATAACGCAAAATGGCGAACCACCAGACGGTCACATTATCTTCCGCTGGTGCAATTTCAGTTCTGGAAATGACTATGTATTTCGCTATGATCATGCTACCGATGCGATCAGTTATAATTATCGTAAATTATTCGCTTCTCAGCAAAATTCAGTATTCGGTGAAGAATTGTATCATTCAATTTCTCAAATGCGGCATCGACCACATTTCTAATTTCGAAATCATTTCCATTTACTGAGTTAATGTGCAACTCATTTATAGAGATTCTTCATTATGGCAATCTTCCTGTGAGGGTGAAAAATTGTTGAAATGATGAAGACCATCATTTGAAACATTTCATTGAAACTTTGTTATGAGAATAACAAAAATAATTTTCTTCGACTAGTGATTTTCCAATGTTGACTGTCAATAGAAGGGCGACATTCCCTACCAACTTCAAGACCTGTATATTTATTGCGTAACTTTAGAAACCGTACTCTCCGATATTGCGTTAACATTTTACCAGATTTTCCGTTGATGTTGGCAGCAGTTCTACGGGCATTACTGTCAAGATTCATCTCAAGCAAGTAAAGTAAAGACGTTTTTATAATAATATATTAGAAGAGATTTATATCAGTAGTTAGGAAAAGAACATCCCATTTTCAGAATAAACGTTATATATATATATATATATATATATATATATATATATATATATATATATATATATATATATATTACCAAAACGATCTATTTTAACGCTTATTCTATACAGTAATACATGTGACACATCCGATGTTCAAAATTAAAATTTATCCTCGTATTACGGATTCTTATAAATTAAGGAAGATATTCCAGAGAGCCTTTATGAAATATCATTTTTGATAAATCATTTTTAGCACGGTTAGCTACTAAAATCATACATTCATAATTCGATGCTTTTAGCAAGATGTTTTAACCAGATTTCGCCTTGTAACTGAGTTTATTCTTACTCTGGAAGATATATATGCAGTCATGATATTATTTCTAAAATTTAAAACAATTATAGCCTGAGTAAATTTATCTTACGCAAGAATCTAATGGATTTATTGTATGTATTGGAAGTCAAATAAGTGATTACCTTAATATCTTGGATGATGTCTCATCATTATTTATACTATCTATATTCGGACGATTGTTCTAATACTTGTTGTAATTATCATATCATTTCGGACGTTTTTACACCACAACCTTCCTCAGATTTATATCGATCTGGATAATTTCCAAGGAATTCTGATTTGAACACTTTATTTAATCTCCAGGGTTTGACTATTCACGTTCCTCTGCTCATGTCTAAGGATAACATCTGTTTCTTTTTTTCTTTTTTTAGTACCGTTTAGCTATTGCTAGCCAGTTTCCACTGATGCACATATACACTAGCCAAAACTGGCAGGAACTCACAAACATTATATCACGAATTCATAAGCTATTGAGATATCATGTACGACAATTTACTGTAGTAGACATAGAGCATTGAATGTAACCTGACTGCTGATTAGGTTGCATCTGACGCTGCTCCTGCCTGTCATGATTTGATTATTGCTGCTGCGCTGGAAATTTGCTGTCATTTATCTTTCTTTATTACCGAATAAATTATTAAATTTATTTCTATGTTGGTCGTATTTATACCTTATAGCCTATATTATGTATGACTGATTATAAAACTCCAATTATATTGAGTTACAAGAAAACTACTAATTTAATTTTTTTAATTTATATCCAGGGAGACCAGACTAATGACTCTGTTTCTCTAGTTAAGCTTTCATATGACAAATCTTGATTAGTGTAAAATAATATCTTAACAATTATTTCATAAATGTACATTTCGTAAACGTCAATAAAAGGATTGATAAATATCAGCAAGAAATCTCAAGTGTTTTGTTCTGCTCTCCGTTGGCTCTCTAATGGCGTCGATTATTTCGAATATCTGTAGCGATTTACGTAATTGCCTTAAAGTGATCAATCATATTAACCGTTAAAGAAGTATATTCTTTAGTGGTAAAAATTGGAAAAGTGAGAGAGCATTTATATGAAGCAATTTGTAAATTGTAAGTTGATGCCAGCTTGACAAGCCATTGCATCGGAAGATAATGCACTAATACTACATTCAAAAGAAATTCCAGATGACAGGCACACGCGAAATTTTAAACAAGTATTAGTAAGGTGAATAAGGTTCGCTTCTCTCTGTCTGTCAGTGTATCTATCTGTCTAACTGATTCAATACTTCTGAATGCATATATATATATATATATATATATATATATATATGTATGTATGTATGTATGCATTTTTCTATCAGGCCTTATTTAACTAACAACAATCTATCGCACTATCTATCTATCTAGTTATATCTATACAGACGTTTTGTTGCGCCTATGTTCTATGCGAAAAGGGCTAAACTGACTTTCCTTTGAAAAAGTAAGAGTTGCCTTCATTTGAACTTTAACTACAGGCCTCAAAGATAAGCACCCAACTATCTCACCCATTCTGTAACCAACATAAATAGATAGTAGGAAGAAATACACACACACATATATATATATATATATATATATATATATATATATATATATATATATATATATATATATATATATATATATGTATATATAGGGCAGCAGAGCATTTTTCAAATATATTCTTAAATATAACAGACTACGAATATATGTTATGTTTTGTAATGAGCCGTCCTAAGCTTCGTATAGTGGCTTTTGTATCGGAAGAAATAATGACACGAGCTCTCAAACATTTGAATATTTTTTTTTTATTATTACACTGTTATTTGATCTAAGGTCTCCGCACACATATGCCATATGCAGGGTCGCTATATAGACATTACAACAAAGGTTTTCCCCGTCAAAGATGACATCCTTTAATGATTACATAGAATTTAGCTATGCGAAGATAACAACCGGGAAATAGCAGATTCAGGTCATAAATTCGCACAATTCCACGTGAGAGAAAACCACACTCAACAAAATTTCATTTCAATCCAGTCACAAAATATTTCAATGCATTTAAACACCTGGTTTCGTTGACTACATTACTTCTTCTCACATAGTCATGTACAGGGTCAAAGAGCTGCATCTGCTATTCCGAGAACTTTATCGGCGAATAGCAACCTTTCATGTAAACTTAACAGTATGTCATCTTTGATGATAAACGTCTCTGTTGTAATGCCCATATAAACAATCTAGTTATGGCTTATGTGTTCCAAAAGCTTACATCGACGAACAGCATAATAAAACATATCCAAATGTTCGTTAAGTTTAATCTATTTTCTCCCGAAATTAAAGCCACTATTCGAACATTAGAACGGATCATCCTCAAGTTTAATAGACATTATATATATATATATATATATATATATATATATATATATATATATATATATATATATATATAAAGAAAAACCATATTCATACAACTATAGCACCAAAATTCAGCATGCAACCTAATAAAGGAGACAAAAGTATTCTACTCGGGGTGGCTTAATTTAAAATTCAGCAGGCGTTATCGGTTTCAAGGAAAAAAAAATGAAATTTCTGGCCACAGATGCTGATAAAATTCTTTATTGTGCTTCCTCAAAATTTTTACCAATACATTCATTACACAGAGTAATATCTTTAAATCCAGCCTTCTAGGCGCCTAACACACGGAAGCGATATGCGTTGTCTGTTAATATTTCTCCAATTTATTTTTATATATAAAATATTTAGATGCAACATGCATTCGTTCTCTCTATGGAGAGTAACCTTTTAGTTTGTGGGAATGCTAATTTCATCAGCAACTTTGAGCAAGAAATCACTCAACCACATTTTACCCTTGATCTAGATTACGACCATCTTTTTACACAACGTTGATGAGGTTGATCATATGCAATCTCTATTTGAATTAACAAAATAGTACAATGATGTAGCTTTACTTTTTAATCATTTTCTTAATAATTCTGAAATGATATAAAAAATAATTTTGTTTCTTAGGTCTCTAAAATTTTTCAGGTTCTATGTTCATGTACAATCCATCGTACAATAAGGATATTGTTTTATGAATAATTATTAAAATATATTGAAAGGGAATTATATGCTAATGTACAATAATTTATCACATACGTTGGACCAGAAATAAAATAAAACAAATGTACTTTAAGTTTATTTAAATATTGTATAACCAAATATTAATCACTGTCATATACAACGAGTTCATCCCAAGGGAAAAGCAATTTTCAAATTCATTTTTTAAAAAAATTGATATTTTCCC